ACTAACATGCATCACTTATAAACAAAGTAAAAATCGTAAAAAAAAACTGGCTAACTTCGTGGTAAAGATTCTTTTGGGTTTTATTTTTAACTACCTTTGAATTTCATGGAATTTGCAAAATGATACCTAGAAATTAAACCGACAACTGTATTGTTAAATAAGCCTAGAAAGTAAATTTTGCCTAAATTTTACTTATAAAATTTGGATGCGTCGATCATTTGATCTACTATTAAAAAATTTCACATATTATATCTGGACTGACTGATATAGCCACTATGGTCCTTTATATAAGATAACGGTCTGAAATTTCATTGGTTACATATAGCAAGTGTTCTATATGAAACTACAATCGATCATATGATAATTCCTTATTAAATTTGCCAGAAGCTAATAAAATTGATTTCTTTGAAATTTCATCGACAGTTTGCTATACAAATTTATGACTTTCTATTTGTAAGCCATAAATTTATATAGTAAACAGTTAATGAAGATGTAAAAAAAATTTATTCTTCGATGTTACTTGCTTCTTGCAAATTCAATCAGATATACCGTAGTGCACTGACTAAAAGACCCGGGTCTAATACAAAAAACCTGTCAAAAAACAAAAGACCCGGGTATATTATACAGCAGTGGGTCTGTTTCGTAAGAAAAAGAAATTTCATTTATATACATACTCCGCATTTATGATAAGCAGTTTAAAATTTTTTAAAAAAATCTATATTTAATTAATAGAGATCACGTGTTTTGCAAGGGGATATTGAAAAAGGGGAATGTACTACGGTAATCAGATTCGTTAACGATTTATTATATAATCGATTGCGTTTTCATATAGAACACTTGCTATATGTAGCTAATGAAATTTCAAGGATCGACAACCAATTAAATGGATCTTCCATCATACTGGTCTCTGCAATATTTGCATGGCATGCTTGTAGCGTTTATTCCATGCCCTATAGCCCGCCATATGATGACTGGCTCTAACACTAGTTAAACTAAAAGGTATTTTTAAAAAAGCAAAAAAGTTGAACGGAACTATCCCTCTCACATTTCATGCTACAACATTCATGTGATCGTACTGGTATAATATGTTGATTATTTTGCTTATTTTGAGTGTCATCTCTTCTAACTGGTAATTTGAGTCAGCATTAGACATGAGTTTTACAACTTTAGCGTTGATCCTCATGTATAAATAATTTTTTTAAAGTTACATACAGTTAGGTCTGCGATCCCCATGTCTATTCTAAAAATGTCCTTTCTAATTTCATATTTGATAACAATTTCTGACATAAAAACTAAAATCATTCAATTAGTATTCCCATTCTTAGCCATTATTTCGGAAGGAATGCAGAATTTGCAAGCCTATCACTAAGGTAAACTAATTTCCGATTTTGAAATGAATAACGGATTAGTACATAGTAAATAAATGAATTATAAGGCAGCATCAGCATAGTTAATGACGGAGTTATCTGGCAGATTACGACTTGCATTATATAGTACACGATGATGAAACTATATAAACCAACAATCTTGTATTTAAATATTCTTTGTAGAATACAGTTTTTCTTGTTAACAAACCCTTCTAAGAGATAATAATTCATTAGAAAAAAATCCCAATTCAATTTACAAAAAAGCATCTTTAAATAGAGTTTATTTTCTTGCTATTAAAAATGAAGCCAATTAACATCATCTTATTAACATTAATGATCGTATTCTTCTTACTCGGTATTTCTGAGAGCATTTTGACTCACAGAAATGGTCCTTTTCCAGCAGCCAAGATGCATCCAGGACACAAAATTATTTTTAATAGTCCTTTTCCAGCAACCAAGCTGCAATCAAGATACAATAATATTTTGAAAGAACGAATTAATCTGTATGCTTCTCAAATTCTTGCCTCCTTGGGGTGTTATTTTGATATAATTAACAAATATTTTTATTTTTAGCCGCTCTCCGGTAATTTACATCATCTTGCACATTTAAATTCTAATATCATTGACTACTAACAATTTTTTATACGAGTAGAATTTTGATATCAAAGTAATATTTCTATTTATCCTACATCGTGTTACGTAATTGTGATTATTCTACTAATTTTGTGTCATAAAATTTGTGTTGCCCGAATGGATGTTGTCCTCAGGTAATAAATCTAATATTTTTCGATAATAATATTAATTATTAATGATATTATTGTCAGAAATTTCTAAATATTTGTTCTCTTTTTATTTATAAAGGACTGGACCTCCAGTTGTCAAAATCGATTATTTGGCTGCCATAAGGTAAATATGTATATACTTATTATGCTTTATTACTGTATGAATTGTTTTTATGTTCGAATACATGTTGTGTT